TGCGAGTCGGCCTATTCGTGCTAAGATGTTAAAGCGGGCTCTACCACTCTAAAAAATCTTTCTTATAATATTCATCACCAGCTCACTATATGCCCCCACCGAGGGACTCGGAGCCTACCCTTATAAGGGGTGACTAGGACATAGTCAACTGGCCAAGTGCGGGTTGACTTCACACATATCTTTGAATTTCTTCACCGATATGCATTACATTTTCCTTCACCGTAAAAACGTCGGGTTAATTATGTACATATGAAAATTCGAAAAATCGAAAATCACATTGGTACAGGATTCGAACCCAATACCTGTAGATTACAAGTCAAGTGTTCAAACCACTGAGCCACCGACGCTCGCTTATAATATTATTTTTTATTATTTGGCTATTTCCAGGATCATTAGCTAATACATGGCGACAAGGAGAATGGAGGGTAAATTATAAAAGTGACCCTATCAAAGTATCCCTACGTCGTCCCCATTCTATACCCACAGCTTGCGCTTGCAAATGGGACAGAGACGAATCAATCGACTGTCAATGCGATTACCTAAACGAATCTAAATCGAATAAAATCGATTACGATAATATCGATGCCGATGCGATTTATGAAAAATATCGTAAAGTTTTACCGAAAGACGATTTATTTATAACGGAGAAATTCTACAATAATACATTACTCGATAAAGTTGACAATTTCGATACGCAAGCGAGTTTCGTTCGAGATTTCTTTGAGAATTGCGAAAGTGAGGTTAGGAAAGCGAATTGTCAATGTCAGAGTGACAGATGTCTAGGATGTGGTTGTACTTGTGATGTCTGTTATTCCCCCTGCTGGCCACGGGATTGGATTAAAATCGATTACCCTGGAGCCAGGGTGATATCAATAAATTACACGAGCGATCCCTATTTATGGAGGCCGTTATGGATTAAAGAAAGCAAGCGGTAGGTAATATGTTTTTTTAATCTGGCAAATCTATTTTATTGACAGCATGTTTGACGTCAATCCAATGACAAGTTTTTAAATCTATATTATAGTTTGTCTAAATAATTTAGATTAGTTTGATAAATGAATATGAAGTCAAATGCCATACTTAATAGACAGTTATCGTAGTGACGAAACAAACACGCAGCGAACAATTATGAACTATCGATATTCGGTTGACTTGACTGATTTTACACAACCCATCCCTACTAAATTTGAAATGAATTGTTAAACTATATTATAGAGTGTCTAAATAATTTAGATTAGTTTGACAATTCACGTCAAATTTAGTAAGGATGGGTTGTGTGAAATCATGAATCTTATCGATTTTCCATTTTTATTCTTATAGAAGTTGGAATCGATAGATTTATAGTTATAACTTATGAATTAAAAAACAAAAACACTGTTTTCTCAAATTAATAATGACCATAACAAATAATGAGAGTAAATTAATGTTTATTACTACTACAGCAGTACGTAATCGAATTGGATTTCACTATTATTTCTGTCATCGCTAAATTCTCTACACTATAATCAATACTAGAATTGTCCTCTAAATTAGTTAATATGAAAATAATAATTTTAGTTGAGTCTGATAATTATTTAAACCGAATATCGATAGTTCATAATTGTTCGCTGCGTGTTTCGTCACTACGATACCTGTCTATCAAATACGGCATTTTTCATACAAATTTAATTCGATACTTCATATGCGTCATTTATCAAACTAATCTATCTTATTTAGACAAACTATAGTTGAAATATTTTCTTTTTATAGTCAAAGGCTTCACGAAAGAGCAGAACAAATGATGTCTCAACTCCTAGCTTTAGGCGTTGGGGAGAAACCTATCATTTGGGTAGGTCATTCTAAAGGTGGCCTATTTATTAAAGAAATATACTGTAAAGGTATGAACTTATGAACCGTATTAACTACTAGCTTTCGCTCGCGACTCCTAACGTGGAAATAAAAAAAAAAACAAAAAATTTCATTTAAATCCGTTCAGCCCTTTAGGCTACAAACTTTAACAAACATCCATCTAAACTTTCACATTTATAATATTAGTATGACTAGCGTTTGCCCGCGACTCCGTCATCGTGTAATAAAAAAAATAAAAGCGAGTAGCCTATGTGCTCTTCCAGACTATCCTCTACATGTCTGCCAAATTTCATCAAAATCTGTTGAGCCGTTTAGGCTACAAATTCAAACAAACATCCATCTAAACTTTCGCAATTATAATATTAGTATGAAGTATAATTGATAGGTTAGTAAGTCCACCTTTGACAAAACAATCGCACAACAGTGCGATTGTTTTGTCAATTTAACTGTTTGCACAAATAAAAATCGAGTAGTGTTCCTCCATATAAAATCATAAGCAAATCGAGACTAAGGGCTTTTCCCACCACTGGCTGATAGAGGCTCAGATAGCTTGATGACGTCAGATAACAAAATCCGATATTTCCATCACATTTTACACGTTGGATTGTCACAGACACTTTACAATTTGGTGGTACAGGCCCTTAGTAAGTAGACAATGTTCTACATTTCTATCTATTATTTCGCATACTATCTTTCACTCGCAACGCCGTCTGTGTGGAATTAAAAAGAAAACAAAAGCAAGTATCCTATCTGTTCTTCCAGACTATCCTCTACATCTGTACCAAATTTCATCGCAATCCGTTCAGAAGTTTAGGCTACAAACAAACAAACATCCATCTAGTTATATCAATATAATAAAACATCCATAAAATCAATAAAAATTTATTACAGCATACGAAGCGTATTTAAAAATCAACAAAACGAACGGAAACGAAGATATAACAGACGAAACTACAGAAAACAACATACAGGATGTTCTAAATGGAAACATTGAGAGAGAAATGGAAAATAATAATAATACTAAAGAAATTGACGCTAACGAAGCAAAATTGACCAATTTAATTAACTATGTGTTTAGAATACAAAGTAAAGATATATATAATAAACTACAAACAATAAGAATTGACGAACAAACAGAAAATAAAACAATAATTGGGGAAAACGTTAAAAATGAAACCAAAGAAATAAATTACGTGTCTTCTATTGATAAAGGTAAATTTTAATATTGATTTATGTTTGTCTGTGTGTTTGTGTTCGCTAATCTCGGAAACTTCTTAACCGATTTAGATGCGGTTTTCACTAATTTATTATACTACATTTTACTTAAAATTTAGACCATATTTTATTCCTTAAAGTTAATAAATAAATATGTTATCAATTGAAATTGAAATTTTAAAAACCTCAAATATGTTAACTACCTTATACTATTATAATAAAGCGTAAACACACACTTTGTTGCCTAAGATGTCAGCAATTACACCATATTTTTGAATAATTCTTTCTTTAATAAAAAGCCCTACACTTACACGCTTTAGGCTATATATTTTCACACTATTAAACTTAGGGGGTAAATATTTCCGATAAAAACTTTAATGTGGGAAAGAGACCATAAGTTGCTGCCAACATCAAGGAAGCAAGATTGCCAAGGTCATGTCATTTTGAAATTTGCTATTGATAATTTGACAAATGTAAACAATAAAATGATATTTTTTTATAATATTATGCGGATGAAGTCGCACGGGAACAGCTAGTATAAAGTTCAACTTAACTTGGACGAAGTTTAACTCTCACTAAGAACTAACCAGTATTTTTTGTAATCTGAGTTTTATGAAATACTAGCTTTCGCTTGCGACTCCGTCCGCGTGGAGTTAAAAAAGTCAACAGTAGGTAGCCTATGTGTTCTTCCAGACTATCCTCTACATCTATACCAAATTTCATTGAGATCCGTTCAGCCGTTTAGGCTACAAACTCTAACAAACATCCATCTAAACTTTCGCATTTATAATATTAGTAAGATAATTTACCCAACATTACTGTGAAGGAAAACGTGATGCATCTATGATCAAAGATATGTCAAGTCCTGTAATCTTGACTATAGCATTTAAAGCCTCTCATTGGAAGTACAGTGAGCATTTTTATCTTCTAGAAGATCAAGAGGTACAGAGAGCCAACTTGTGGCGGAACAGTGCTGGCTTCATGTTCTACTCTGTGCCACATCGCGGCTCTCCTCTCGCTGATATTAAAACTCCGATAACAGCTAGGAGTATAGAATTATTAGAAATATGCAAAGGTAAATAAATCCAATTTAAATAGCACTCTAAAAGTTATGTATCTTAAACTTATCTATACTATTATAATAAAGCGTAAACACACACTTCTTTGTTGCCTAAGATGTCAGCAATTACACCATATTTTTGAAAAATTCCATTTTTAATAAAAAGCCCTACACTTACATGCTTTAGGCTATATATTTTCACATTAAACTTAGGGGTAAATATTTTGGATAAAAACCCTAATGTGGGAAAGAGACCGTAAGTTGCTGCCAACATCAAGAAAGAAATATTGCTAAGGTTTGTCATGTCATATCATTTTGACATTTGCTATTGATAATTTGACAAATGTAAATAATAAAATAAAATTTCCATAATTCTATGCGGATGAAGTCGCACGGGAACAGCTAGTGGGGTAAATAAATAGGAAGAAATCGTCACGCGGGAAAGGGACCAAAAACTACAATGTCTCCCACATGACTGTTTTTTTTTCAATTTATTCACCCCATAAGTTTGATAGCGTGAAAGTAAAGCCTAAAGCGTGTCGTTAGTGTAGGACTTTTTATTAAAAAAACAACCATAAAATGTAGACTATATCACAGATATATACCTTTCTAATGGTGAAGGTATTTTTAAAATTGCCCCAGTAGTTTTTGAGTTAATCCAATATATATAAAAATACAAATATTACCTCTTTATGTACAGATTAAGGGGAAAGATTTGTATTTTTGTATTGAAATAACTCAAAAACTACTGGGATAATTTCAAAAATATTAGTGTAGAATTATTAAAAAAATATACCATGATTCCAGACATATGTTTACGCTTTATTACATTAGTATAGAAATTCTGAATGTTTCTAGAATGTTCTCTAGTAATGAATTTACAAGAACGTTGGTTGAAAGCGACGGAGTTTTCGAAGCCAGCAGTTAACAGTTTGGTAGAAACGTGTAAAACTCTGATGTCTTTACTCTGGCTGAGGATTGTCAGTGTGGATTCCGCTGGTATGTTACTAAGAGTACACTAGATTGAGTGACTAAAATATCGCACAACTGTCGTGCGATTGTTTCCAATTTAACTGTTTTTGCACAATTAAACATCGAGTTGTGTTGCCCCATATTAGCTCATAGGAAGAGCGAGAGTAAACAGTCGTGCGATAGTTTGGCCACGGTTTTCATTACAATAGCATTTACAATCGCAGGCTACAAATAGTCTATACTGATATCATAAAGGATTTGTATATTTTTATTTTTGTATATATAAAAATAACTCAAAAACTACTGGGCCGATTTTTTTAAATCGTCGAATTTTCGAAATTAGGACAGTAGTTTTAGATTTATTTCAAAATATACAAAAATAAAAATATACAAATTCCTCTTTATAATCTATTGTGTTCGTGTAAAAACTTACCTTTGTTACTGAGATAAATTACCTTTTTAATGGTGCAAGAATTTTTGAAATTGGCCCAGTAGTTTTTTGAGTTATTTCAATATATACAAGAATAGAAAAATTATCTCTTTATATTAGTTACGATAAAGAGGAAAGATTTGTATTTTTGTATTGAAATAACTCAAAAACTACTGGGTTAATTTAAAAAATTCTATCATCATTAAAAAGCTACGTTATCACTTAGTAATAGATTCTATTTTTACTATTTATAACTATTATTAGTATATACTATCTGTAGCCTGCGACTTTGTCCGCGTGGTATTAAAAAACATACGAACTGTATATATAACAAAAATTTACGTATCCCTCGGGAACCGGACATTTCTCGGGTAACCTTATCCCATGTGTACTCCAGACTTTGTTTTATATCTGTGCCTTTCAATAAGATATGTTGAACCGTTGCAGAATGATCGAGTAAACATTAAAAAACTAAATTAATGAATCCCAGAACCGTAACTATTCCCGGGATCAAAGCCTATGTGTTCTTCCAGACTATGCTCTTGTATACCAAATTTCATCCAGATCCGTTCAGTCGTTTAGGCTACAAACATCCATCTAAACTTTCGCATTTATAATATTAGTAATAGATTTTATTCTAGATCCAGGTATCGGAGCTTTATCCGGCGTGTCCGTAGACCACAGGGAGATCTGCAAACCTTCAAGCAGAAAATGTCTATTGTACCGAGAACTGAAGATTTTGATACAAAACGCTCTTCAAAATAAAAAAAAAACATATCACAATAAAAACGAATAAAAACTAACCCGTAGTTTCAATACTACTGATAAAATAAATTTAACGTATTTTAAAGAGAAGTTATAAACAGAAAGAGACTAGTTTTCGCCCGTGATTCCGTTGTTGATTAAGACATACTATTCTTACAGACACTTGAAATCTATACATAAAATAATTTTTTTAGGAGGAGGCCTAATTTAAGTCTCTTTCTCTCTACCACCCTTTTAATAAGAGGATGGGAAAGGAAGTGGACTTGACGGTGGAGATGCATAGGAAGGGGCAATATCCTCTTTTTTGTGTCTTCTCCGTCAGTAGGCAACGCATCTGCGATCGCGGATGTCTATGGGCAGTCGCTTCGCCGTTTTGGCGAATTCAGGTGGCCGCTTGCTCGTTTGTATGTGTCTGTAATATCGATAGAAAAATTCCAGATTTCAGGGTGTATTTGCGTTTATAACGAAAATCGCATTTAAATGTCTGTCCGAATGTTAGTTCCGAGTAATCTCCGGAACTGGGCCGATTTTATCAGTACTTTTACTGATAGTTGACATAGAAATGCATATTTGCATTTATCTTAATACTGCGTACGTCGCGGGCAACAGCTAGTCTATATAAACATCGAGTTTAGAAGTATAGGCTACAAATCCATCCATTTTTATAATAATAATAGTAAAATATGTTTGAACTGGTAAATTTTATCAAATCTGCAAAAACATTATTATATATGTATATTTCTCATTTTTATTATGTTACATGTAAAAGTACCTTCGACTAAAATATCGCACTACTGTTTAGTCCCTCATTGACCGACTTCCCAAAAGAAGGAGGTACTCAATTCGTCTGTATGTTTTTTATGTGTGTTACGGCATAACTCCGCCGCTAGTGGACCGATTTTGATAATTCTTTTTTTATCCGAAAGGTATTGCAGGTAGGTTTTTTTGTTTGATTTTTTCTATAAGTTCATTTACACTACTCGATTTTTAGTTGTGTGAAAATAGGTGAATTGGCAAAACAATCGCAGAACAGTCGTGCGATAGTCAAATGTGTGCACGCAGTACGCGACGTTAGGAAATCGAACATAAAACATCGATTTTTTCATAAATAAATACGATTCACATTTGAAGTATCGATTTTAAAATCACCTTATAGATGCAACTTTGACAACAATCGCACAACACAACAAACTGTTTAGTTGTACAACTGAACATCGACTTGTGCGTCATATATGCTAATAGGAAACGCGAGACTAAACAGTGCGAAAGTTTAGTCAAAGGTTTTTGTGTTACTATGAAGTTAAAATTGACGTCAAATTTGACATATTTTAAAGCTTTGTTAGTCCTCACAAATCACAGTATTTGTCTTAGTATATATGTATTATTTACTTATAAATATGAATATAATATAAATTTTAAACTGTAGAAACATTTTTCAAATCTGTACAAAAATAGTTTTTATTTCTTCCACTAGCTTTCACTTACCACTCCGCGTGGAATTAAATAAAACGAAAGTGAATAGCCTATGTGCCCTTCCAGACTATCCTCTACATCTATACCAAATTTCATCGAAATCCGTTTAGCCGTTTAGGCTACAAACTAACAAACATCCATCTAAACTTTCGCATTTATAATATTAAGTATTAACTGTTCCCGTGTATCATCCGCATTCAATTATGAAAATTTTATTTTATTGTTTACATTTGTCAAATTATCAATAGCAAATGTCAAAATGACCTGACAAACCTTAGCAATCTTTGTTTGATGTTGGCAGCAACTTATGGTCTTCCCACATTAGGGTTTTTATCCAAAATATTTATCCACTAAGTTTAATGGCGTGAAAATATATAGCCTAAAGCGTGACGTAAGTTTAGGGCTTTTTGTTAAAAAAATAATTATTAAAAAATATGCTGTAATTGCTGACATCTTAGGCAACAAAGAAATGTGTGTTTACGCTTTATTATAATAGTAAAGATGAAATATGATTGATTAATATTAACATATAATAAAATGTACAAAACCATAATTTTACACCACTAACCTTTTTAAAAAGACAGGCTATAAATAGTGGTTTCTGTACATATTTGATTCGATATTTTGTCGCTGACCAAATTTATTTTTTTTGTATACCTTTTAAACAATATTGTATTCTGTACGAATTAAGAAAACAATAATATATTTAAGCTAAAATACAATTAAATTGTGTATTTAGTTATTAAAAAATCATTTTATAGTACCGATTGTAATTCAGGGGTGGTCAAACTACGGCTCGCATACCAGAATTCCTCTTTCATTTTTGTTACTATAAAAATTGTTCAGTGTGTTTCAAAATGTTTTTATAAGGTGACTTACAATTATCCAAAATTGCGAAGCGCTTCCCAGATATCTGCATTTGTAGATTTGCTTTTTTGAATAGAGGGGACGCAGACATTTCTCCTATGCGTCCTAAATTCTGCCTGCTAAGGGGAAGTTCCCTTCCCATGTCTTAAATTACTACAATTATGGAGTGTAACATAACTAGCTATTGCTCGCGATTTTGCCTGCGTGAAATTAAAAAATATAGCCTATGTTACTCGCAGATAAATTGCCATTCCAAGTGTGTAAGAATTTTTAAAATCTGCCCAGTAGTTTTTGAGTTATTTTAATATTTACAAAAATCTTTCCTCTTTATATTATTATATCGTAAGTAATTACAATAAATTCAGCTCAAAGAATTATAAATTTTGTATAATTCCTCGGTTTATTAAGTTAACCACCCCTGAAATTACTTCAAATAGCGTCCGATCTCTTATAAGGCATTTGTTACTCGAAGTATAAGAAATCGAATTTAAATTTATGTTATAAGTGGATTTTTGTAATCGTTATTTAATTCTAGTAAACTGTACCAAGCTAAGAATTTAGCTATATTTGAAATATAATAAATATATTGAAAGTTTTACTGTTTTTTTTTACCTAAGTTAAGAGATTTTATTTTCATGGAATTAAAAATAAAGAGTGGTAGAGCCCGCTTTAACATCTTCGTACGAATGGGCCAGCTCGCCCCCAG